AATTAAGTCTGACTTGAGTCCAGGCAGAACTCATGCTTTGTAAGATGCCAGTGTGGTGGTTTTTAACCATGCTACCTGCACCCACACAAAATGTGAAACACTCCATCCCGAGGAGAAGTTGATTTGTCTTGGGAAGTAAACTACTCAAAGGCTTCAGGATTGGTCCTTCTCTCTGATCTCTCAGCATTTCCCTCTATATCTGATTCTGGCCTTTGATTATTTAGACCAATTCAGGACTCCTTTTACAGTTTCCCCTTCTTTCCTATCCACTAGCCATACATTCAGAAATCCAAAATTATATCAGCATTTTCTTGGGCCATTTAATATCTACATGTTTTCATCTATTGTGGTTAATCTTGTAAGAAAATAGGTTAGTGAATTATTGGGTTCTTTTATAATCTAGAACAGTATTTGTGATAACTACTTTAAACTTAACTTTTCCTTATTTCAAAAATAATTTTGTTGTCTTAATGAACATAGAATTATTGCTTTAATACTTGGCATTAGTTTTGTTTTTCCTTTTCGATATATTTGCAAAATATATTTAACTTAAATATAATACTTGCAAAATCTAGTGAAATAAACATATCACTTTTTGCAAGGTTCATTTTAATATTGTTATACATCAAAAAGAGAGTTTTAAGGACTCTGATTCATCACTATGAGAAAACTTCATTTATTAATCATGATGGTTATGACTGACTCCCAAAGACGTGAAGCAAGTCAATTTTTTCCAGCCTAGCAGTTAAACTATTTCTATATCTCTCACTTTACGATCTTGTGTCTATTTAGAAAAATAAAAGAGAGTTCTTGAGACAACCACCAAGTGAGGCCTCTTTTTTTCTGAGGGATCCATGCCAACAGAGCTTGAAAAGATTGTCCTGTCATGTAAGAAAATGTAATTTATATACTCCTGGTTTATGAGCATCATGGATCTAAACTTTGGCTCAGAATCTAGGTCATTTCGAAAAGAAATGACTAAAGAATATCCAAAATACAGGTGCAGCTACAATTCAATTACATACTTTCCCTTTGTGCAGGGCGTGTCTTTGTTCTCACAGCTGGAAGATGTGTACTTTAAATTTTCAACAAAGAAACGCCACCACATTAAAGAACTCTAGAGATTCCTGTGACCTGAACGGTAGCAATAACCATGCTATCTTCAATGGCCTTGCATAGAGATGTTATGCGCTTTCATCTCCCGTTTGTCAGTTCTCCATACATTTGGCAAAGCACGTTAACAAGAGAAATGAAAACAGTCATTTGAATACAAAGCTCAGGAAAGGAAACCACACAAAATATCGGGTAACCAACATCTCCTAAGAATGTATTTTCAGATTTTGAGAAGAAGAAGAAGAATCAGAAATACAGCCATGCATTCTACTGGTCATCTCCAGTTTCTGTTTTCATCATTCCATTTACTCTTGCCTAAAGGCAGGCAACAAAACAAAACCAAGTATGATCTAAGAAAGAACAGAGATTTCAAAACCAAACTGCCAATTTTTAGCCTACCCTTTCTCTATGTGTATAAAACTGTGCTTCTTAGTTCTATGTTTTAACAGTTCAATGGTCATAATTTATATAAAATGCACAGATGGTATTGGGGGTAGCAAAATTTCAGAAGTTAATACTTCCTGGCATATGAAACACTACTGCAGATCAGCATTTTGGCAACATTTGAATGATTTTAGAATTATTTATACATTAATATCTTGGCATCATTTCATAGTCATAGGTTATTACATCTTTAAATTGTCTGATTCCTGATTAGAAGTGCTTTTCACATTGACTCTAAGCTGCTGAAGGTATTGAATGGCTGGTGCTTTTGAATTAGAAGATGGCATCCCCTTGGGCATTGAAAATAAATATGATTCTCTAATAAATGAAAGAGTGCAGAAATCATAAAATTGTCTAATACAATATATGATGCAGGAGGAGTTTCCAAGATTCTGTTTGAAAAAAAAATTACTGCAGTAGGCTTATAAATGTTATAAATGTTATAAAATGTTATAAAAAATCAACACATACATATAGATACACTAAGATTTAACCTTAAAAATCAACTGGCATGTTTTGTGTTTTTACCTACCACATTGAGATATAATCTATAAAGAATCCTGTCTAGTCTGTGCCCAGTTTCAGTATTTTTAACAACCTACCCATCCCTACCTTCCCTGAAATGTCACTTGTCAGGATCATCTTTGACTGACACCAAGTGTATACATCTAGTCCTCAACCCTTAGTCGTAATGCTGCTCAGTCTAACGTCCGCAATTGCTTTCTCCCCAGATGGTCTTTAAAGCACAGGACAGTCCATGTGGTATATTTTCTTTTTCACTTGAGGTTTCTACTGCTCTTTCATTTGCCCTTTTCCTTGAGAGCTAAGCTCCATCTCTTCCTTTCTGTCTAGACTCATTCACTAAATGATATCACTTTTTAACATTAGTAAGTGGTAGACCCTGGTGAATCTCACACACATCAGGATAGATTACATTGTGTTAGGAAAACTATAGGACTTCTCTCAGCACTAATCCAATCTGCATCCAGCCTACATGCTGGTCATGGACCCAGAGGTGAGGAGTGGACAATTCTGTGGCTCATTATTCACTGTGTTCCATGGATAGAGAGGTTGCCTTGCGGTAAAGACAGCATGGCTGAGGCTCACTCAAGTAACTGATATTTAATAAGGTTTTGGTGTTTCATTCTAAATACAGGCAGCTGAAGGAGTCAGAGATCTGCCTGAGGAGAAGCTGGATCAGTCTTCCACATGCTCAAGGGGAGGGGAGGACGGCATAATAATGAGTACTTGTATGCTTACCACAACTTAACTCATTCTCCAGCCTCAACCTCAAGCCGACATTTCTGACTCATATACCCGACTGCCTCTTTCATATATACTTAGATCTTTTATGAGCATTTGAAAGTTACTATGTCTAAACCTCAGCCCCTGACACATCCCACCCCAATCATCTATCTCCTATGCACCACAGTTAATGTCACCCACACATTCTGACTTTCTCAGGCCAACCCACAAAGGTATGTCTTAATGTTTCACATCTTAGAGGCCATGCCCAACATGTCTGAAATTTGGGGCAGGAGGTACTACGTTACAATACATCCAGGATCTAAATAATGATGACCTCTGCACCATTTGTCCTCGTGTCTGGCTTACTGCAAAAACTCCCAACTAGTCTACCTACTACTGAGAAGGCCACCACTCACACCTTCTTGACAGACGTCTCCTAACTTGGAGAAAAACATAAAATATTTGCAGTATCTGTAAAGTCCCACATAATTAGGCCATCCATTTGCTGTTTGAAGACATTATCTTCTATGAGTCTCCTTTGTTTGCTCTGGTCAACCCACAGAGTCTTTGCTCCTTAGTGAAAATGTCAGTTGTTTAACACTTGTAGGATCTTGAATCAACTGCTCTGTCTTATCAAAAGACACATTTCCTGAATGCCTGTCCATTTTCTTGCTCACTTCCCCCGTATTTTTATTGAGGCATTTTCTGATCATTATTTTAACATTACAGACATAGCCAACCTCTAATGAATCCTTCTCTACCTTTGTCTATTTAATTTTTCCAATAACATTGTACAAATTGCAAACTACACAATACAGTTAGTTGGTTTTGTCCAGGACACATTCACCACAATTTACCTAGTGCTGATAATTATGTGTTTCATTTGTATGAAACGCAAATGGGTGATCACGAGAAACTTGAGAAATCAAATATAATAGCCATTAAGTGTGTCTGGATTATTAAGGCAGGGAAATGGGAAGTATAGCTTATGCCCTAATGTGACCTGGAGTATGATATAAGGGTAAAATGTTTTTAAGTCATCATTACACAGAACCCAAAGTAATTGTTGTCACTAAGCAGAAAAATATTTATTCTCAGTCTCTATTCCCCTGAATTCTTAACTTCATTTTCCCAAGTAAACTCATCACAAAGAATTTTCACTGTTTGTGACTTTTCAGTGCCTCTTAAAATCTGATAAAGCTGAATTATCTTTCACCAGTTTCTAGACATATAAGAAAAGTTGAAATACTCATATGAAGTCAGGTCAGTGATGAGAAAAAAAAATAAACCACATTTTATTTCCTTCCCTAAACATGGAGCCAGCTGGTCCTTCTGTACCTCTTATGGCTGAATTATTATGCTACTTGCTTAACTGGTTGTTCAAGACTAGTGCAAGCCTTTCTTAGAAGCATGTGATGTGTGTTATAACTTCTTTGATAAATTAGCAGAGTTCTTGCATACACACTCCCCTGGGCCAATAAATTCACAACAGTAGATATCAGCATATCAACAAAGGGAGTCAGAAGAGGGAGTACCACACAATCACAGACTCAATGAGAGCGTGTTTGATGAAGGCATTCAGTGAACAGCTCATAGGACAAAATATGTGAAAAAGCACGTGGAATTGTGGCCTCAGAAAGATAATGCATCATATAATTTTCCACTTAAATCAGGAATTTCCAATCTATTCTGTAACCATGGGATTCTATTTTCTAATGAGGCATAGTCATCATTTACATAGTCAGAGTGAGATTTTATTTTTCAGAAGCAATACTAAATTATGTAGAATAGAAAAGCAAATCAAAAAGAAGAATGGGCTAATGCAAACCCATAAGTAAACTACAAAATCTTTGGAAAACGCCTTCTGTAAATAATTTTTGTAATAATGTTAAATGTAATGTGTGGAAATGGTCTAAGCCGCAAGTAATCACAGTAAGTGAGTCTACGTAAAAGTGTGAACTCATACTTTCGAATTGGAAATATATTTCCTGCCTTTTATTAACCCTTAAAAATCATATGTTTTCATCACTTATTTTCATGTCTACACAAGGAAAATGTCTTTCTTTTAAAAGAACTGAAAAAGAGAACTAAGGCAAGGCTTTGTCGCTGAGAACTGATCTATGTCCTCTTTTGCTTGGGTAAAGATGTGCACAGTCAACTGGCATATGCTCCCTGCAACTGGGTTCAGTACTCACAGTGATTCTTTCATCTTTATCGTCCAGGGCTGAGCCATCCTTTTTCCAGGAGATAGTGGGCTCTGGATGGCCCCGAGGAGGCTGGCATTCCATTACTGCAGGCTCACCTACAGCCACCATGACGTCCGAAGGGTTTTGTCTGAAGTCATCCCGTAGTACTGTAGGGACAAGATGAAATCATCACATTCAATGATGATGAGACATGCAGTCCTTATCTCCAAGCCTCAGCAAAAGTGACATTTATTAGAATACACTTCCACTAATAGCTATCACAATGAAGCTTGAAGAGCCCGTATCTATTGCAGGCATTTGCTGATTAGAAAAAGTACTTATCCCTTAAGAATATTCAGGAAGGATTATTTCAGATTCTTCACAGGCCAGCAAGCAGGTGCACTCTGCTGCTCCTTGCCCTAACAGTTCGTTACAAGAAATATCAGGCCAATGCTTTCTACCTATCACTACAACAATTACATACACACAAACAAAAACATGAATGAAGACACTTACAAGCATGCATGCATGCAATTGATTTTATAGCTATTTAAATTGCTGTAGATAACTGTATTACCAAGGTAATTTAAATATAGTCACTATGAAAACTACACACATTTGCCATTGACTGCAAAATCAGTGCATTTTCCCATTGTCACTGGGTGAGGAACTACAATACATGTTATAATTAGCAACAGCATCAGAATTTATGTTCAACATTATTTTTGTTAGGCAGTATCTTATTAAATCCATAAACCTATTTAGAATGAAATATACTATTCATCTCTTTTATATTGTGAGCTCTAAATTTTAATGGAATAAACAATCTATTCTTGCCATCTCAACTGGACAGAAAAACACTATTAACATACTATGAAATAAGCAGCATTGTTTACTTAGTGAGTGGAGAGAGGAAATGTGGGAAATTAAGTAAATAATGGGCTCTAAAAACAGTGCACACAGGAAAACTGCCCTCAAAACTTTGATATTATCAAGAGGTCCTGAATTAAATCCCAATCATGCCCTTTACTAGATAATCATGAACATATTACTTATAGCCTGTATTTTTAAGAAAAAACAAGGAGGATTAGCACAATATCTAATAAATGGTTAACTTGCCCATAGTTCTTTACCTTTGTCCTGTGGGGACTACGATTCGAACCATCTTACAAAATAATTTAAGGCAGCATTTAAAATGTTTATTTGTAAGTTAAGCACATAAATCTGGAGTGAATAGTGTTTATCTTTAAAAACTACTGAATTGAATTTTAAAACTGCAGTTGTATATTGAGATGGATATATTCTCACCCATGTGGCTTTTTAAAATGCTGTAATGGATGAAGCACTATGATCCCGAAAACCATCAGTCAAAATAAAATCACCCCGAAATTTAGCTCTCCTAGCCTCAAGTAAACTCACTGGCTCCCAGTAGTTTATATTTTTTCTTTCCTTTCTCTTTCTTTGTGCTAACCATATCCATGTAACTCAGTAAGCCATGATACCCATGCGAAACTGGTTTTCTCTTGCATGCTCAAACAACTTTGGTACAGAAACAGCATGTTAGCCTGTGGAAAACGCTGCTTCAAGAAAGAGTCCTGCTTCCTATCTTTGCAAAGAAAAATACACACACACACACACACACACACACACACACACAGAGAGATAAAAAGCAAAGGAAGTATGAAGTATGACTGGTCCAAATTGCTGCAATTGTAACTTTACTACATGCTCTTAAATCATCACAGGTATAATAAAATGGATCTTGTGGAGCTGAGATATCTTCATTACCTCATTAAAAATAAACAGGGCTTGAAGGCTTTCACCATTTATAAACTATATCATTATTAGGTGTTAACTAAGAACAACAAACAAATTGTAAAGTTTATAGAAAAAACAAATTAGCTGGCCTTAACAGGCAGCAAACTCCCATACTGGATCATGTCGCTCATTGGTGACAACACCCTTGAAATGATTGAACACCCCTGAAACACCCAAAAGTAAAATATCTTTTAAAGGAAAATAACTATGTTTTACATTTTTTTCCAGGTGGTAGACTTAAAGTAATCTGGGCCATACTTCATCTTATTTATAAATTAAGATCATAATCTCCAATAAGCCAACAAATAGTAAAAGGTCTTATGAAAATAACAAAGGTTTAAGATCCATCAAGCTATAGTTTCCATTTATCATACTATTCAGACTTGTTTTTATAGTATATAATAGAAAGCTAATAAACTATAATCCATTAAAGATTGTTGCTTAGATAATGCTCATGTAGCTATTTTGGCAGCTGTAAATTATAAAAATCCAGTATGTTTAAGGCTACAGGCAATGTTTCATAAAAACATGAATTTAATACTTTTCACTCTTTTATAAAAATAGTATTTCTTACCTATATTTGTCTTGAAGTTTTCCTTTTGAGGATAATATTGTATGTTATATTATTAAATGACATCATTTTTAATTAAATTGTCCAATTTTAAAAACTTGTGTGTAGCTAGGTATTGGTGGCACACACCTTTAATCCCAGCACTGGGATGCAGAGGCACTTGGAGTTCTATAAGTTCGAGACCAGTCTTGTCTACAGAGCAAGTTCCAGGACAAGCAAGGTTGTTACACAGTGCAACCCTGTCTCAAAAAACCAATAAGACCAAGACCCTTACCAAAACAGAAACAAACAAACAAAAACTCTTAGTGTACATGTAATTAAGACTTCATCTCAGTGTGGTTATACACTTGACAATGTGAGCTCCAAAGTTCTTAGAAATAAACAAGTTAAGGATTGGGAGATGGCTCAGTGGGTAGGTACAGCTGTTTGTTGATAGGCCCCATTACTTGAGTCCAATCTCTAGAATACAAGTGATGAAATAAGAGAAGCAACCCTCACAAGTTGTTCTCTGACCCCTACATAGGAACGGGGACACACACACACACACACACACACACACACACACACACACACACACACGGACAGAAGAGAGCCCTTGTTGCTCTTGCAGAGGACCCAGGTTAAGGTTTCACAACCCACAGAGCAATTCACCACCATCTGCAAATCTAGTTCCAGGGGATCTAAAGACTCTTCAGGCATTTTTTTGGCCTCTGGAACACCAATTATACAGGTGGTACACAGACATACCTGCAGGCAAAACACCTACAGACATAATACAAGTAATACCACATTAAATCAAAATTTAAAATGAGAATCTAACAAATCAGAACTTCTCAAGGGAGAAGAACATGACACAAAACGGATAAAATTATCATATAATGGTAACCTTAGCAAGGTGGGACACTTACTTGTAGGGGAAGCTGTAGCCACGCCTTCTTAGGGGCTGGCTACAGGTGTGCCTGACCACGCTTGTGAGGGCGTGGTCAGGGTGACGGAGTGTGACTGCGTTTGCCCTTTCGGTTTCTCTTTGCTTCTTGCTGTACAGACTTCTGACCCACCGGCTGGCTAGGTTGCTCTGTAAGTAAGGCTTTTCCCTATTAAATACCCTTATATCTCCACCTGATTCCGTATTGGTAATTTCCCACTATACTTACTATGTATCCCCTTCTCAGCATCAGCTCTTCTAATCATTTACTCCTCAGAGCAAACTGAGGATGAAGTGAGATTACCAGGTTTCTAACACAAATGGAAAAGGAGTAAAGAATCAGGAGCAGGATTCAATCGGATCTCCAGACACACAGGAAGCTTCCCCCACCAAGCTGCTTGTCTACCAGTCTTGTCTGAACACTCTTTGCAGTTACAAATACTTAAGCATCAGAATGTAACTAATATTTCAGTCTCCTTCCAAGGGAACAGAAGTTCGCCGAGGAGAAATTTCTTCCCTGACAGTCATATGGCTATCCTCTTAACATTCTGTACTCAACTTTCTTGGGTCGCCCCATGTTTGGAAGGGACCTCTTCACATTTTGAGCAGCACATTGAGATTCAGAATTCATTATCCAGAATACATATGATGTGTTACTTCTCATCAACAGTTTATTTTCACCACAACCCAACTGAACAGGCTGTACAATAATATGGGTTTTAATTAAACATAGGCACTTTAATTAGAACTCGGTATCTTGGGGAAAACAAATGAAGATAGTCTGTAGTCATGGGATCTATTTTCCTACACAAATGGCAATCTTGTGAATGAGACCTGGCAGCCAATAGTAAAGTTGTGTTGATGAGGAGAGAAAAAACAAAGGCCTTAAAAAGTGAAGGGTACTGGAGAAGAAAATAAGTTAGAAAGTGTATATTTAATTACAAAGTTGTAGTTCCTAAGTAGCACATGCCTATGCTAAGTAAAGCACCCTAGTTGTTTTCTAAACTATTAAACAATGTTCACCTTGAGGTAGAGTATAAATGACTCAGTTTTACAACACATCATGACCCCTCTCTGAATGTCAACTTACAGGTTTGTGTTAAGAGTTGTTACTCAATTTCAAAATCAACTCTTTGATATAGGACATCGGTACTGATTACTAGCATTGTGACTGGTATTTACGCCATACAGCTTTTCTATTTCCTGATACAAGATAAAAATATATTGATATATATCATGAAATAGTCTTGGGTTAGGGAGTTTGCTCAGTTAATATTACACCTACTGTAAAAGCATTAGGACGTGAATTTGGTCCCCAGTATCCACCTAAAAATGTGTGGTGGTATATGATTATAATCTCATCACTGGCAGGTAGAGACAGGTAGATTCCTGAGGTTCACCATCCAGCCTGCCATCCTAACATGAGTTCCAGGTCAGTGAGAAACTCTGTCTCCAAAAGCATGGTGAATGGCTCATGAGGAGTAACATTAGGGGTGCCCTTTGACCTCTAGAAGCATAGGTATCCACACACATACAGTCTCTCACAAATGAAACACACCACACACAGAAACACACTATGCCAAAAAGAAACATTTGTCAGAAATAGAAACAGAAAAGGATTTGTTGCAGGTTATTTTGAATCAACAGATATATTTTGGGAACTGTGCAGGAATGTACAGGAATATCTAAACAATGTGTCTTCTGAACTTTTAGTTAGAAAGTGATATTTATAGGACAAAGAAGTTTAAATATTCCAAAATATTCTGAATAAGTTACCAAATTTTAGCTTTAAATAGTTCATATGAACAAGACAATAGTACATTAAATATGAAAACTAAAAACTAAAATGTAAA